TTATAGTTAGTCATGAATATGTAAATATTAAAAATGCAGTCTCACCGTTTGGTGGTCGCTGGTTCAATCTCCGCATAAATAAAAACATTTTTATTAATGTGTAAAAATTATTTTTTATATTGTTCTGTAATGATTTTACACTACAAAATTGATAAAATACATACATAATTTACAGCTACAGCAACAAACATAATTTTCTCCCGCGAACGCTCAGGCTGTGGAATGAGCTCCCTGTCGAAGTTTCTCCCAGAGACCACAGTATGGGGTTCCTTAAAAAAAATATTAAGATTTTTTCAGGGTCGACAATGCGCGCTTGGCATGTTTATTGTTGCTGGCATCCATACGCTACAGTAACCTTTTATCAACAGACAAGCTGTATGCTTATTTGCCACCTTCGTGGTATAAAGAGATGTTGGACAGGTGTCGCACTTTTTGGAAATCCCCCTGTTATAATTTTATGATAAAATTACTAGGTAGTTGAACATCCTAGGGTCGGGGTGTTGCCTTGAGGGAGGCACACCCTACATATGACCCTAGGAGGGGTGCACACGTATCCGTGCCCTCCTGTGGTAGGGTGAGAGGGACATTCCCCACCCTAACTAAGAGAGGAGACCTGCCCTACACCACCTACAGGGCGGGCCGTCGCGTTGGATACTCTGTAGTTGTACAAACGGGAACCCGGAATCCAACATAAGCGCCTCGAGGTACGTCGTGTGGTTATTAGTGGGTACGAATCCCACACACCCCAGCTGCCCACCCTCCGGCAGATGGGACGGTCTTGCTGAAGATTTTCCACACGTTAAACAAAAAAAAAAAGGTAGTTGAACATTACCAAAAGTTGGCAATGCGAGAATAATATCTCTGGTATTCTAAGCTTAATCGATATCTTCGTTAAATAAAAAAATACACTACATAAACCGGTCAGTTGCGAGATGAACTCACACGCCGAGAATTCTTTACATAAGTACATATGATATAAAATGACTTTTCTTGCATTTCTAATACAAAATAAACAAATAATAGTTATTATTGTTGTTTTTGGAGGTTTTTTTTTGATAAATTCTCAAAAACGATGCAAGTTAGAAACATCATTCTATTTATTTTGTAACATTTATATGTGTAAGGAAGCTTATGGTGGAGGGATGGGCAGCAGCGTCCTTCTTAAAATATCATCAAAAGCCAAACTGGCGGTTGCCAATCTGCCTGCCAAGCGTGACAACTACTGATAAAACCCCCTTTATGAGGGAGGCTACATTTAGCAGTGGACAGTTAACGGTTGATACATACATATATATATTAGCATGTACTTATATCTTATATAAAATTCTCGTGTCATGTTTGTTACCAACTCCTCCGATAATTTTTATGAAATTTTGTGTGCATATTGGGTTCTATTTTTCATACCCCTCAATGATAAGGGTGACCCTCCCGAAAAAAAAATTTTTTTTACATTTAGACAATTTTTTTCCATTTTTATTTTATTATGATTTAACATTGATTTACGATCAACTCCTGTTTTTTAATCGCGATTTTTATATGGTGCAAGATGGCAATCCAATATAATAATTGTAGTAGGATAAATTTTCATGTATAGTTCTAAAAATAATGTATATGGTAAAACAACGTTTGCCGAGTCAGCTAGTAAACTATAATTATTTCAGATTTTTCGCTGTAGAAACTTTGAAGGTAAGAGAGGGTACAGATTTCCTCTTACCTTTTTGACAAAATTAAAAACTGCATATTTTATCATAAAAATAAATAAATAAATAAAAATCAATTTTACAATATAATTCATTTCATTCAGATGCTGTTCTAGTCGAGCTGAGTCACATCTGAGCGAATTGCTTTGTTATTTATTTTATTTGCTTTACTTTCTTTTACTAACATAGTTTGTAAGGAAATTGTTACCAACAAAATGGACCAAATTGTAGTATGAATAATAAAGTATTATTATTATTATAATGTACAAATAAAGCAAGATGAAGTCATGTAGATAAACTCAATCGAATGTTCTGTTTATTAAGACACCACTGCCTTTTACGTTTATCTAAATTAAGAAAATATATGTATTTACATAAGTAAGCAAACTTAAGGAAGCAATAAGTGTTTATATTAGTTTACACTCATGCGTGCTGTTCAAAGAACTGTGACAACCTTTCACATTTGAGATTTGGTATTCTTGGTACTTAAATATTTCAATTGCTGTGTTGTGTACCCAATATAGCATGGTACACCCATTCCTTTCCTGTGGGTGTCGTAAGAGGCGACTAAGGGTCTTAATGGTCTTAATGGAAACTTAATGGTCCAGGGATGGGCAACAGCGTCCCTCTTAAAACAGAACCAAAAGCCTAACTACGGTTGCAATCCGCCTGCCAAGTGTGGCAACTACTGGCAGAATCCATCTTCATGGAGGAGGCCTTTGTTTAACAGTGAACAATTAACGCCTGATATGATGATGATGATGATGATGATGAAATATTCTAAATAAGACGAGTGAAATACATACGAACAATTAGATTTCATAGTTTGATTTTTAAATCTAATATACAAAATAGATTTGAATAATACTACTCAAATTCTCTAGTGGATTGTATTTATTATTTTTATAAAAGTTTCGTGTCACTGTATGCGTTCACACTAATCTACCAAACCGCTCAACCGATTTTAATGAAATTTTGTAAATGTATATTGTGGGGGGAAAGGGATTGTTAGTAATGGAGACTAAGAGTCCCATTGCTAGCAATATACCTAACCAGGTAGACCTCCACGCGGTTCTCCCTGGAAACTATCACGGTCAATTCCTGATGAATTCGTCATGATAAGCTAACTGGCGTATTTTCATTTTCATCGATCACACTTCACTGGTGCCCCGCCAGTGTATACTGTTAGCACAGGCGGTGTTTTCATTCCATTTTCACTTATCAAAAAAAAATGTATATTGTATCCTCCGACTTGAGAGAGAAGATAGTTTTTATCCGGATAAAAATATCTGTTGCTAAATCTGCATAATCAAATTATAGATCATGATTTTTTTATTGATATTTAAAAAAAAATTATTACTCAATAATTCCCCCTAAAGTACTATTCTTAATAGACATTCCTCTGATTTTACTTTACGTTCGTACTTTTTTTAATTAACTTAAAATGACAAACAAGCTGACGGCCCACCCAAATCGAAAGTGGTATCCGTTGCCTATAGACATGACCAATACCATAGACATAATATAAAATTTTATGAATTCTATACTATTCTACTTATATTATAAATGTGAAAGTTTATAAGTATATCTATGTTTAATAGTTAATATAAGTGTTCTTATTACATCTTTCACAATTTCATAATACTCTGTGAAGTGTAAAAGAGCACTTCCCACTAGACTGACAGCCTGTTTAAACGAGTTTATTTGAACATGAAGAGCATTTAGTGTCAGAGTGTAATTAATTTTACATGCCCGTCACACATTTATGTAACCATCTGATATTTAACGGTCACTAAAATAGCTTCCCCTAATATAATCGGGTATTTAATTAAACCTTATTCAATTTAAGATTGATGAATGTGGAAGAAGCGAGAGAGGTTTGTTTGAATCGAAGCATTTGGCGTTCCATTGTTTCTGCCTAAACTAATGGGAGACAGGCGTGACAGATATGTATGTATGTATGTATTTAATTTAACCATATAACATACTAATTTCTGAGAATTAATTTGTTCATCGTTTACTGCTTAGGAAGACATCCGCCATACAAGTGAACGGGTGCTGTTTGTAGGTACTAGATTTTTTATTATTTATAAGAGGGAGACTTTGTACAAAAGTTGATTGCTTGGGTACCTCTGGCCCATTCGTGTTTCAACCGTGAAGCAGTTGTGTTTGCGTGGCTGTGTTTCGGTTTGAAGGGTGGGATATGGCGTGAATTTACTGGGTACAGAGTAATAAAACCTGAGTCCATGGCAACACATATCCATGGGCAAACAGTATACTCTGTTATGTCCATGGTACTGCTCATGTCTATAGGCGACGTCCACTTTCCATCATTTTCTCAAGTTGTATAAAAAAAATTACTATACACAAAATATTTTTTTATCCTTTTTATTTAGTAGTTTTTATCCTATAAGGATATATCAGCCCCATCATACCCCATCATTAATTAATTTTACAGATACTAAAATAAATAGAGGGAATCTTTGATACAATAATACAGCAATTAAAGATTTGCCGTTTCAGAATGTTATCTTCAAGTATATTTATATAATTTTCTATATATCTAAATATACATTTATATTAATACATATATTTCATCTCTATATGTATTTAAAATGACAATCCAATCATTTGGACTTGTCTTCCATTTTTTTCAAGGCATTTCTTCCACGCACAACCATTCTTTTTATCAACTTCCATTTTCCGACATACACAACATAACCTTCAAGAAAAGGGGCCGGCAAACACACATGCAATGCCGCTGGTGTTACCTGATCATGGACGGCGGTAGTCACTTAATCAGGTGAACCGCATGCTCATTAGCCCCCTGTGTTGTAAAAAAAAATGACAAAATTTTCATCTTGCCTCCGATGAAACTGTTTAACACCATCCAAAGATTGCGGCAAAAAACCGCTTTTAGGTGTGCTGTTTCCGGTAACCTTTTTTTTTAAAAATAATAAATTTAATATTTAATCTTTTGAAGAAAACAATAAAGAATATCTATCTATCTATTTAAACTATATTTCTGTATCATTTCTGATCATTTGTATCATTTCTGCATCATAATGCTGATCTCTTTAATAAATAATTTGAATACTTTATTAAATACTACATACCTACTTAAAATCTACTGTTACATTAATAATGTTAATAATACTATTATTAATATTGTAATTTTTTTTTCATATTTCTCCACAAAGTATTATCCTGAGCGTCCTGCATTTATTTTTAAAGTAATTAAACGATATAAACAATTATAAAAGAAATCTGAGAATTCAGGTTGAAAACAATAAAAAACTGTTAATTAACAACGTTTTATTATAAATAACAATTATGTAAAATACTGACCATACGAATTAGTACATTTTTAACAATATAATGAGCCTCGGTGAAATTTAAATTACACGTAAAATTTACCATTATTAAATCTTAAATTATAAAAACAATTATTTTTCATTAATTCCATTAACACTCGCCACATCAGTTCGGTTTATACATATGCTACAGTCCACACATTCTTTATACATTATTCAAGGTTCTTAAACTATATAGACATAGCTGTGAATATCAAAAACAGGTCAAGACTAAATTTGACACATATTTTTATTACGTTAAAACAAAAATTCTCAAATCATATCGATTTTTTAAATTTAAATTGGGAACTATTTTTTCTGATATAAATATACATATGTATATATTGCTCATAAATTAAAAAATGATATTTTAATTATACATGTTTGTATGTAACGAATTAAAAACCAAAACAACTTTATTTTAGTTACAAAACAAAATAATTAATGAAGATAACGTAATGAATTATTAGGCATTCTTTTTTTACAAATATATTTGCATCGTTTTTATTTTTCAATTAAATTTTACAATATAATTTCTCTCACATACTGAGTAATAACTCGTACATATAGATAAAAAGTTGACCTGTTTTTGGCGAAGCATTTGTATGAAGACACTCCATATTAGATTCCATAGATGGAGTGTCTCCATACAAATGCTTCCAAGCCAATGACATAATATTAAATATTGACTTGAGAAAACCATTCATGTTTTTGTAACCTTTTCTACTTTCGGTGTTCTTTTATAGTGTCCGTATGTAACTCCACCCGCTGCCGTTTGATACATCTGGTTTGGGAGGAAACCACGCTCGTAATGTCTTGGAACTACAGGAGCATGAGAGAAATGGCGACCATTGGATAACTCCTCGTAAGCAACCAGAGGATCTTTGGTGTAACCTCTCTTAAGATATTCAATTTGAATACTAGAAGGTATATAAGAATCGAGTAAAGAAGTTGGTCGCCTTTTATAATGTGGCATGTACCCATCATATGGTCTCTGTGTGTAGCCATGACCGCTTCCAGACGGGAATGCTGATTTTACCAAAGGTTTGCTGAATATAGGTAATGCTTTGGGAATGTGAGCTAAATGCGACGGTGGAGCTTTTATTAGTAAAGGACTTGGAGGCGGCAATTCTGGTACAGGGCTGTGCCTATACTCTTCTCGAATGGGAGCACGCGAATTATAATATCTGGGCAATTCAGGTGACTTCGTGTATGGGATTTCAGCTTGTGAGGAATACTGTTTTTGTATTTCCTCATCGTTCTCTTGTATTTCTTCCACGGTGTTTCCATCTTGGTATTGTACGTTTTCATAATAACCCTTCGTTACGACAGGGGGTGCTGCTATTGCTGTGGGATACTGCATGACTGGCTGATAAGCGATCACAGGAGCAACTGTAGCATGAGCTGCAGCAACTGTCGGCTGCGCTGTATACTGTACATATGCTACTGGAGGCGTGTACTGCTGAACAAAGGTTTTACCTGCTGGAGTGACGTATGTTGGAATTTCTACATAGTTCGTTTGTGTTTGTACTGCTTCAGGTGCGGAGGGATATGCTGCAGGATTAGTGAGCCCCTGCTTAACGTATTGTACGGCAGATTGTGTATTAGATGGTTGCTCAGATTGCTCGTTATAATACTGTGGAACCAGATATATCTGCATCGGAACATTCGACAGGTAACCGACCATCGCTTGCTGGGTTGCTGGCGGCCCATATTGTACTTTTGGGGTGACGACTGGCGCTCGCTCCGGAGCTTCGCTTACAGCATATTGCTGAACGTAACGCTGCTGTTGAGGAGCCTGACCACGAGTGGGACTCTCGAAATAACGAAGAAAACCGTTCTTTAAAAATTCAAAAGGAAGCAAGCCAGGACCAGAAGAAGAACTGGTACTTTGCGATCTCGCATCAGATTTCTCTATTTCGTTTTGCTTTTCACTTTTCAAATTATCTTCCTCGATGTCCTCTAGTTCAATTTTCTTTTCAGCTCCCACGATGAGCACAAGTAGGAAAACTGGTGCGATCTGAAAGTAAAAGCAAATGAGTGAGTTGGAATGGAGTAGTCGTTTAGAGAAGTATTACCAAATAATCGATTATCAGTAGTAAAATTGTATTCATCCAGAATAATTTAAATATCTATAAAATTGGTTAATCGATTACTAATTAATAGGATCAATATAAAATTTTACACAATTTTATTAATTATAATTTATGGAATACTATAAACGGTATCTATCATATCGATATCTAGTTAAAAAAAATAATATCAATTAATTTAAACAATAATCGTTAGTATCTAGATCAATAATCTTCTAAATGTTTATAATTTAATAAATCATACGATTATTAGATTATTTGTAGCCCCAATCAAACTATCGATCAATAAATCGATACCCAATGATTATTGAGCAACACAACACTAGTTTGTGGCGCGTGGCTACACCACATGGCTGGATTATAACGCGAAGAGGCGTGCCGGCCTCCTCGCACGCAGCCAACATTACCACAAACAGGTGAATGGCAAAAAATAGACTAAAGCCCATTATGAAACCAGTTAGACGCAGTAAGTACCTTAAGTTGGAGTGCTTACTTTTACTCTTAATCTATGCGGTTGAGATTCAGACAATCTCACGCTAGATTAACTGCGAGCACATTAATATCGGACTTGTTTATATTAGCATATAGAAATAATTTCACTGTAATAATGCCATTATCAAATTTTGAGATGAATGTGCGGAGTAACAAGGAATAACAGAAAAAAAATAAAAAAGAACGGAGAACTCTAAAAGTTGCACTAGTAACGGAGAAGTTGCGAAGTAATAGATGATTATGCCCTAATCATATATCAGATGTTACTAATTATATGATTAGGGCTTTTACATACATACAAATATGAATCAATTAAATTCTATTTTAAACAATTTCATACTCTTTCTAAATTTTAATATAATTAATTAAAGACGAAAACAAATACTTTCTCTTAATAATCATACAAATATAGTTATCTTAATACAAAAAATTAAAAAAACTTAAAAAAAAATATGATGGAATTATTTAATACTAAGAGTAAGAATCTGATGTAAATTAAAATAATAGCGGGCACACCATAAATATATCTTTTTTTTTGTCGAGGGGAAATGCTCATGCAGACCCACACACCTTGGAGGAGATATGTGGGTACTGCCGGACTCTTACCGGCTAAAACCCCCCGATGCACCTTCTCAACGCTCTCGTCGGCAATCTTCCCGTCCACCATAAATATACCTACTATGATGCCCCTAAAATACCTGTTAAGCATCTTGTATTAAATCTATTCATATTATAAATTTGAAAGTTTTCAAAGCTTTTTAAATGTTAAAAACATTTGTATATTTATTAGACATTACGCTAAAATGGCTGAACGTATCTGAAAAAATTTTAATACATAATTGAGTAGTTTCACACTAACACATAGAATACTTTGTATCCTGTACTGTATTAAGCAACAAAGTCAAGAATACAGATAATCCCCACTAATGTTCTAAATGTGAAAGTGAGTTTGTTTGTTTCTTAGCGTTTTAACGACTGAATTAATCACTATGAAAAATGGTATATATATACTACATGAAGTGCAAAACAATATAGACTACATTTTTATCCCGGTCAATGAAGTTACGTAGACAAAGTTGCTAATTAAAGTTAGTGTCCAGAATTCAAAACTAGTTTACTGTTAAAAAAACTACAAAATATCTTGCAACACTGATGTATAACTATAGTATACTACGACTACAATATAACTAAAAATGTATATTCAAACCATTTTAATGTAACGATGTATACTCGTATTGATGTATGAAATACATTTGTCTCGAAAAATAATTACCAGTCCGTCTTATGAAATGAAATTGCCTTTTGTTTTCAAATTTCGCATCACATACTTTATTGAGACGACGTGGTATTCTTTGACTCCTGGCCATTTCATTTTATTACAAATCTTTAACGTTATATAAGTGAGTGATATTTTTTTAATACCACTGAGCAATCAAGCATAGTAAGAAACTACAACGTGGAGTTCTTCGAAAAAGTGGTAAAGAGGTTTTTTCAGGATCGGGAACGCGCGTAATGGCCTTGGTCTTTCAAGCGTTCATAGGTTACGATAACTGCTTACCATCAGGTGGGCCGTACTCTTGTTTGTCTTCTCAGTAATATAAAATAAAAAAAAATAATACAAAAATATGGAAGACTCAATTTTTTTATATATTTTCGACTCATGTATATTTGAAAATAATATTCATTTTCACTGCAAGAAACACTCCCTTAAAACTTAAAAATCCCTTCCTTCGATTCTGTAGTGCATAAGGGATGTATGCGCACACGCAAATGAAATGCTTTTTTGCAACAACGCGCAGTACGCAGAGTGCGGACCAGCACCAACAGCATCCTGGGCATGATTTCGAGTATGCTGGACTGCACATACGTAAGTCATTGCTGTAATATATCAAGTGGTATGACGCAGAAATAATACATGTATGTTATACTAACATAATTTTAAGTCTAACTTCTTTGTTTCTCCGTAATGAATAATATAAATAAAAAAAAATATTAATATTAATTTCACCTGTATATGAAACTGTGAAAGCAGTTCATTACCCATCGTCATCATCATCATCATCATCATCACCTTTGATTACTATCGTTGTTTTATTGGTTTTATAATATATTATTGTATATGTATACATTTGTATTTATGTTTTACGTTATATGTTTGTGTATGTAATTAATATTTGTTTAATGTATTCATTAAATTACATAATTTTGAAGTCAATATATGTAAATACATCTGCAATTGTTTATCCACAATAATTTTAATTTTTTTCTCCGCACAATTACATTTTTGTTTTGCCAAAAGTTGAATGGGAAAAAATATTGTAAAGCATTAAATCCGTCTTTTGTACCAAACATTTTTTATAATGTGGTCAATAAAAAATAAATAAATAAACAAAATCAAATAACAATAAAAATAACACAAAACTGAGACTTAACTGCTATGGTATTTTAAAAATAGTTTCTCTGTCACGATTCAGTATAATTAGTTGACGGCAAATTGAAATCATCGATTTGCACGCTTCTCAAAAGTCACTGACTAGACAGACTTGTCGGCAATTAGTATTACGAGAACGTATAACAACGGAAGAGATCGCTCCAAAAGTTTTATTTTTATGGTATCTCCACCTACACATGCTCGCTTTATATTGTTTGTATCGTTTAACATTATTTTCTTGGTGATTTTTTATTATCTATTTGCAAATATGCAAAGAAAAATAACAAATATTACCTATATCCTATTATCCTTTATCCTGTGGCTATATATAGTGGCTTAAACATTTTATATCACTTAAATATCATCAAATAAATTTGCGGGAAACGACGTATTTTTGTACTTAATTATTTCACGTAGAAAAAAATATATAATTTACTAAAAAATGAATCTGAAATGAAGATATTGAACATTTTATTTAATACATGCTATTTTTATGTTGAATTTCATTGAAACAGTATTATTAAATAAGCGACTTTAAAACAAAGTGATAGAGCGCAAGTTATTATTAGCATATTTTAAGTTGATCATAAAACAGCTATTTAATCTACTATCCTAGACTATACTTTGTCTGAAGGAGTGAAGAAAGAAGTATCCGGAACTGGCGTCTCTTTTTTTAATTTTTAATTTATTTATTCTTTATTAACCACTTTACAAAAAATTTTTGTTATAAAAGACGGACTTAATACTATATAGCTTTGGTACATACATGTAACGAATTGTTAGAGTTAATGAAATGAAGAAATATTTTACTAAACTGGGTGTTATCTTGGGAAAGTCCATATCTGCGACACTGGATAATTCCTGCTTATCCCCTAAGACTTTAGTACATATACATATGTGTACAAGGGAGACTTAATACTAAAAGCATTCTCTTCCAGTCAACCATAGGGAAGTGTCAGAATACTCGAATGCGGTACTAGTAATAATTGATATACATACATACTAAATTTAAATATATATTTTTTTATGACTTCAACTTAGAATGGCAAACAAGCTGAGGGCCCACCTAATAGAAAGTGGTAACCGTCACCTATAGACATGAATAGTACTATGAACATAACAGAGTATACTGTTTGCCCATGATTATCATAACCCCATGGGTTGCCATTCCTGAGGACTCAGGTGTTATTCCTCTATACCCTGTAAATCATACATACACAAATAAATATATAAAAATAACAAATATATTTACATATCGTCATAGTCGTAGAATACTGACGGATCTGACAAAGATTACATATATATATATATATATATATATATATATATATATATATATATATATATATGTATATATATATATATATATATATATATATATATATATATATATATATATATATATATATATATATATATATATATATATATATATATATATATATATATATATGTATATATATATATATATATATATATATATATATATATATCCGTTAGTATTCTACGACTATGACGATATATATAAAATATACTATATTATACACGAAGATGAGTATATAGATATATAATAGTATATAGTATAAAGATATATAAATAAATCAACATGTCCATTTATACATCACATAAATTATCAATTATAGTCACAACTGACATAAATATATACATCAGTCGCGTCTGACGTTATTAATATTGTTATTATTTTAATATCTCATTATATATATATATTTATATTATGCATACAAATACCATATTAAATCATGACTACGTCTAGCTAGCTGTCATGTCACATACATGGGTGTCAATAATTCGACACAGTAAGTGGTGATTAAACTTGAACAAATATAACAGAATAAACATCTTATATATTTGTGTGTGTCATTGAGTTTACACAATTATATAAATACTAGCTTTAACTCGCGACTTCGTCTGTGATATGTTTACCGATTAGGGTAAAAGGTAGCCCATCTACCCTAACCTACTCTTCTCCATCCAATATATTAT